TGCAATTTAATTTTGTACAAAGTTAAAAACTACACAATACTACAATAATAAAATAGTGATGAAAATGCGATACCTAATTTAATTAATAATGAAAAATTTTTACGTTTATATAAATTTATTATTTAAAATTAAAAACTAATCCTTAATATTATATAAGAAATAGCCTCTCAAACTGAAAATCTTGATTCCATCAAAAACTTTTGAATTAACTATCAACTGTGATTGAGGAAAGGAAAATTAAAAAAAAAAAATTTCTAGTAAAAATTAATTATTTTGAGAAGAAAAAGGAAATTATTAGTTTTTTTTTTTTTGACGAAAGTGCTTAAGGAAAATTTTTTAAAAATTATAAAATTCAAAAATCGAATTGGAATCTTACAATAATATATATATATATTTTAAAGTGGATGAATCATTTAAGTTAAATCCAATATTATCATTAATTATTTGTTTTTGTATATCCTGTCACATAATATCCGTACCTGACGTGTAGTGAACAATAATACTAATTGACCTTTGTCTTTTTTTTTTTTTTAAGAAAAATTCATATAAATTCTTAGTATTTTATATATATATATCATATATGATAATTTAAAATAAATAATTATAAGTCGTGTATTTGAGATGATTTTAACAAGTGATTATCGATAAAATTCAAACTTAAATTCTTTTCATAAAAAAAATAAATCTTAATTAATTGAACTAACTACTTATTAGTGATTAACCTTTTATCTTTGCTTCTTATAAAAAGGTAATTCATAATTAATGTTAATAATTCTTCAAAAATAATTAATGTTAATTTTGTTCCCTCAAAAGGTTTTTTGTTACTACAAAAATTATAATAAAACGTTCAAAGGAATCTGAAGTAACACATTTTGCAGACAAGCATTTGCCCTTTGATCTGTCGTGGTTAAATTCCATTGGCGCTCGTTACTTCTTTTTTCTACAACTGAAACTAATAAAGCACATCAGACAATTTCCCTTCTTCGCTACAATGCCTGCTCTTTGGTTTCTTATAACTCAGGCAAAGAATAGAGCTTTGTTCCCACCAAACTTTTTCAATTTCTTTCACCTTTTTTGTATTTTTAATTACTCTAATTAACTAAATCATATATATTTTTACATTTGTAAGGTAACTAATAAGATATATACTTATCTTTAGATCAATTGACACGCTATTTAAATTAATTTTTAAAGATTATGAGATTAAAAATTTTATATTTGTAATGTTTTTTTTAATTAAAAATAATGAAATAAAAAATTTAAAAATAAATTAAAAACTTCAAAAAAAGAAATTGATATTATTATATATGTGATTTTAGATTACGTGATAAAAAATTTTTTTATTTCATAATTGTAATTGTGGTCTAGGTAACTTAGGAGAGATTGGATTCCATATTATTGGGAAAATGAACTAAAATGAAAGATTAGAGTATTCTAATTAACCAATGCAATGCAATATAAATAATCAAGGAAAATATTTAACAAATTTAAATAAAAATACTTTTAGCAACGAAAAAAGATTTACAAGAATTAATCCAGTTAATAAAAAATGATATTTTTATTTATTAAAGTTCGGTTTTTATGAAAAATATTCCAAAAGTAATTTTTTGATACATTAGATTAATGCATAAATTAATTGATTAAATTATTTTATTTAATCGATCATTATTGAAATTAAACAAATGCAATCAATTTGGTCGATTTCAATCCCCTAAAGCAACATTCCCTGGCTATACTAATTAAAGTTGTAAAGTTAATGTTCCTTTTGTGATTCTAAAGTAACAACATCAATCTTTACGGTCTAAAGATTCGATGCTACTTGTTTTTATATATTGATTTTTTTTTAAATGTTTTTGATGCCGCCGATACTTTTCAAAGTGGGGAATGTTAGGCTGTAAATACAACTGAAATTTAAAAAAAAAAAAAAAAGGGGAAAAGAATGAAAGATAAGTTAAATCATCTATCCATTCATGAAAAGCAGTGTTCTTTCTTACGTAATTTTTATGGAAGAATATGTTGTTTTTATTTTAATTGTTTATTTGTCCTAATATTATATGTTTTAATATATTTTTTTATTTTTCATTTTTCCTAGATTTTTTCTTTTTATCTTTGTCCTTTTATTTAAAAAATGAAAAGTAAAAAAAATAGTTTTTTATTTTTTCCAAAATAATTTAATTTTTAAATTCAAAAATAAAAATTTTAAGAATTTTTTGTTTTTCTAAAAATAAAAATTTAACACAAAAATTGATTTTTGAAATTTAAAAATTACTTTTGATTTTTTAATTTAAAAAAATAAAAATTGAATGACATGACAAATAAAACTTTTTTATTGATCACTGTGTGACATCAGCATTGCCCGCAGGTCAATAACCTTGCTCGCACGTCGAATGAGTTAACCGACCGGTGGACATGTTCATTCCAATCTTTAAAATTAAATTTTTAGATTCACATCATTTAAAAATATTTTAAATTTATCCATTCCATCACATATTATTAAAACTGACAAAATATGTCATGTCGGTACAACTTGAACGTCCATGTAGCGTAAGTTCCGGTTCAAAAATCAAGGGAGCATTTTTTTTTTTTTTTTCTATGTGGGCATATGTATGGGCGTTCACATGAAATTCAGATAGAAAATTTTATCATGTTTAAATGTCGGTTGATGAAAATAAACTAAGTGAAATTTTTTTAAAAAAATTGTGAATCCAAAAATTAAAATTTAAAGATCGTGATGAAAAATATACTATTATACAAAGATTACATTTGTGAGTAATTTATTTCGAGTGAAAAGTAAAAGCATAAATATTGTTTTTTTATATAAAAAAAAGTCATAATTTTAAAAAAAATTATAAATGTTAAAATTTAATTTATAAATTTATTGAATATCTCTAATTAAAATTAATTATATAAATCAACTTGTGCATTATTTTTTATTATTTGAATAATATATTTTCAATAATTTTATTCAATTAAACTGTCTTATCGATTGAATTTATGTTTATGAAGATTATTATCGAAATGTAATATAAAATTGTATTTCAAATCCTAAGCAAAATTTCCTATAATAGTACCAGTCTTTTTAATTCAAAGAACTCTACTTGCATGAAAGCTAACCCTAAATTTATCAAGGAATATGTTAAAACAAGTAGCAAAGTAGTGAGCATCCCATTGTTTGTCTAACATCATGTTGAACCATTTGGGGCATTGATTTCTAAAAGTGTTTAGTTGGGTTACGGTTTTGTTCCCCTGACCTGTTGTTCTTTTAATTGATAAAAATTTCAGGAATTTGAATTTGAAAGTTTGTGACATTAATGGTGATATTTATTTAAGATAAATTACTGTTATTTGTAGGTTTTTGTTAAAGCATAAAAGACATATATATGCTGGTGTTTTTCGATCATATTTTAAACTTTTTGAAAGTTACTTATGAAACCCAACAATCAACATATAGAAAATTCTTTCTTTTAATTTTCTCTGAGGTTGGAAGATCGAAGAGAAAGAAAGTTTAACCAAAAAAATCCTTAATTCCCCATATAATTCTTTTTGGTCTAATTAAATAATTAATTTATTGATATTTTTTTAAAAAAAATTTTTAAAATTTTAATTTCACTTATTAATGCAATATCAATTTATGGTTGATTGATAATATACAAGATATATATATATATATATTAACACTTCATCGAATATAAATTGTTATAATATAGATAAAAATTAATTAGATTAATTTTTGATGTACCGATAATGTGTTAATTTTATGTACGATTAATTAATTACATGTTGTCATGTCATAAATGAACAAATATAAAATTTTAAAAGCCTTATAAATAAATAATTATAAAATTATAATTTAAAGAAATTAATTAAAATAAATATGAAATTACCGTAGTTGAAAGGCCGAATTTTTGGTGATCGTAGGTGGGGAGTATTGTGGTGGTTTGCAATGGTGGTGACTTTTCAAGGTTAGGGTCTCAACCAAAGCCAGACAACGCTATACTCTGGTGAGTTGCTTTCAGAGTTTTTTTTTTTTATTTATTTAAAAAAAAACTTTCCATGAAAATTTAATTGAAAACTTGTAAGAAGCATTCAGAAGACAAATAACAGTAAATCCAAAATGATTGATGACGGGTAGAACTAGAAGAAACTAGTTGTCAAAGACCAAGATTTGGAAGCTTAATATCTATATATATATATATTATTTAAAAGAGTATTTGAAGAAGATCGATGGCATGATTTGACAGATTGCCCAATGGTGGGTCACCAAGGAAAGATTTAAACAATAAAAATTATACTTCTATGTTTGCGATCCAAAATTAATGGATTTCTTTACTAGTTTGGAGAGTTCACAAAGATAAGAAAATTTTTTGGGAATATTAGGGCTTCCTAACCTATCTAGTTTTCATAGAAAATACAACAAGAAATTTATTAATTATTTTTTGCGGCTAAACAAATATTATAATATGTGATTATTTATTTTTAGGGCCTTATAAAATTTCATATTTGTCCATTTATGACTTGATAAAATGTAATTAGTTGATCACATATAGAATTAATATACTGTTAATGTATCGAATATAAACTTAAATTAATAATGTTTGCAACTTCAAGTATGCACATAATGCTTAGATATAATTAATTGAAAAAAATAAATAAAAAATTCTAAACACAATAATTAAAAGTGCAGCAATCTATATATATATATATATTATATATATATATATTTATCAACAACAGGATTAAAGATACATAATTATACAATAATAATAAGTAGCTGCTCTACGTTGCTAAATCTGTCATTCCGATCCACCCCAGCCCTTAGATATATGCTATGTAATATAGCACCTTTCACTTTAAAACCATGTTAGTTTGATTTTTTTTTTCTATCCCCCCCCCCCCCCCCCCCCCACATAAATCTATCACACTAAGAGAAAATAAAAGAAAAAGGAAAAAAAATTGTGACCCATCTATGGAATCTGTCAATTAGTCCTCTTCTTCTCCTGTCACAGTTCTTCAACTCTGAAAATAAATTGGTTATCAACATATTGCAGAATTCCAATGTCGCCAATACGTGAACTTTCTTCTGCACTGTCATCTTCAATGGCAATATTTAAGTCCAGAGAAACAGATGTGTTTTTCTGCTCCATTTCTAATTCCTTGATCTCTTCTGTCTCACTAATATTTGGCCTCCTCCTCGGAGAACAAGCTCTTGACAATGAACTAAAGCTTTCGCAGCTGAAAATGATAATTGCATCCTTGACAGGAACTGTCTCGTCATCTGAAACTGTTATCCTTCCACTTTCAATTGCTTGCTTAATGCCTTTCTGAGAACAATAATCAGCTTGTTCCATGTCTTCCATGAAGAACACCCTGTGAGGATTCTCATTCAATGCCTCACTAAATCTCTGAACGTAACTGCTTCCTGACTCATCTCTCTTCCTTTTCTTGTCTTCATTCGAATCTGCCCTTGTCGATGCCAAATTGCTTAGACTTATAGAAGCAAAGTTGGTTTGAGAACCGAAAATGAGTCTGGCTAACTCCCTTGCAATCTTCCGCTTTGCTTCATAGTCAGCTCCTAAGAAGCATAGCCAAGTTTCGTCTTTGAGCTCTCTTTGCTTTAACCAGCTTTTGACTTTTCTCATCCCTGACCGGCATTCGAGGATGGTTCTAACAATTTCAGGAATCACCTCCTTCTGCCATGGAACCTTTTTCTCCAATGCATTGCATAGAATGTTCAGGTTTTCAGCATTAATAACCTTGAACTCGTTAAGGCCATCGATATCCTCCTCGATTGCCTCACTCGAAGAAGCTGAATTTGGGCTAGAGTTTGGATTTGAGAGGAGGTCTGGCTTATGATGATTTCTCAATGGGAGTCCATAGCCTTCATCTGTGTTTTCGGATATCCAAAACTGGTGCTCTTTCGGTGACTTTTTAGGTTCAAAAATGACTGTCCAACTTAGATTAGTCGTGTTTCGTTCTTTTGAGGAATTTGAATTCGGGGAAGAAGAAGAAGATAAGGGAGAAATGTTGAGAGTTTCCCCAGGGTTGTATTGTTCTTTGTCGGTTGAACTGCCAAATAAATTCCATTTCTTGCACAGATCCCCAACATTGACTGAACCCTGATAGAGAAAAAGCAAAAGAAAATGTAAATCTCAAGTTGTTTGAAAACAGATAAATAGCATGATTAATTCTGAAAATGCAGGGCAGAGGAGATAAGAAGGATATACACCTTATCATGGGCAGGGTTTGTTTTGCTTTCTTCCTTGTAGTTTTGGAGCCATGAAGGCAAACTTGAACTGGAAGAGACGATTGCAGTTCTTTGAGCTTCCTTGTCAAAATTGAGGAATCCATCAGTGAAAGAAGTGTGGCTCTTATTTACTGCAGCTTCTGGCAGTGGCCAACTAATAGCGTCTATAGATTCCTTGGTTCTATACTGAAGTTGAGAGTCACTGGAATAAAGAAAAAAAAAAAAGCCAGAAAGCATGATCTGCATCAGTGACACATGAAAAGAGGAGAAAAAGAAAGGTAAAACAAGCAAGCCTTTTTTCCCGAGAAAAAGAAAAAAAAAAAAGAGAGGAAAATTGGCCAAAACTGTAAGAGCTGGAGAGTGTCAAATCCCAATTTCAAAACAAGTATTTAACTTCACTGGCTAGAGGTTTACCTATCAAGATTAAGACTGAGGCTTAAGCCGTCAACTGAAATTGTAAGAGGACAAAGTTCCCAAATTGTCTCAAGAGAAGGATGGCCTGTTTTGCACTTCATATAAGTTTGAAAAGTTGCAATTCCCATAAGAAACAACTTTCCTGTCTCCCTAATTCCACACACTAATCTTTTAAGTTCCATGATTATGTGCTCCAATGGGCAGTAGTAGTTTCTTCTTTGCTCACCATAACTTGACCAAAACTCTGAAATCCATTTCAGATCACCCAAGTATAAGACCACCCCTCTTCCCATATAACTCTTCACAAGGCATTTAAGCTCTACAATCTTCTGCTCCACTTCATCTTTAGGAAGATTTCTCAATGAAAAAAGTGGAAGACTGATAAACTGAACATATCTTAAATCCCCAGAGACTAGCCCTTTCTCAAACTTATCCATCACCCCTCTAACTACACTCTCAGCAATGGCGACAGACTCTCCTATAATGACAGTGTTTTCCCTCTTGTTCACAATTGTGTTCAAAACATTTGTTACATCTTCATTCCTAACTTGATCTTGCGGTTTGCCTAATGACAATCCAAACCCAACCTGAGTGTGGGACGTAGAATGAGACACATTAGCACCCAGAACATGGGGCTTGGCATTTTCCTTAGCAGAGGGAGTTTGGGAAAAAATCTCCAAGGAAACAGTTTGTTCTACTTTGCTTTTAACTTGGGTGCTAGAGAAACCAGCTTCCCTCATGACCCTACTAACACTAGGATCATCTAAAATGGAGATTATAAGATGTTCTAATTCTATTTTGAGAGCTAAAATAGGTTGCTGTTGGTTCTCAATGGAGCCTCGGCGTTGGTGAGCCTGAGCACGCTTAAAGGCGGCAACCAAGGCATTGGAGAGGGAAGGATGATGGGAGTGATGAAGGCCTAATAAAGGGCTAGAAGTGGAAGCAGGGAGGCGATTGAGTGCAACATTGAAGCAAAGCTCTAGAGCTCTGAATTGAAGAGGATGAGAGTGAGACTGAAGACAAGCTCTTCGGAGAAGACCAGTAGAAGAAGCTAGCATAGCACTTGCTACGTGAAGAGGAGTGACTTGGGCATGACCTCGCCGTCTAGCAAGAGCAAGTGCTTGCTTCACCAGGTTTGCAGCCTCAGCTGTTAAAGCTTGCTGCACAGTGCAAACCCCTGCTCTCATCTTTCTTGTGTTTAAGCTATAAAAACAAGTCGTTTGAAAGATTGGGAAAAAAGAAAATCAGAGTCTTAGAGCTTCAAGCTCAGTGGGTTTCATCCAGATAGCAAGAAAAACTATGGTGCAAAGAATTGATGATATGGGAAATAAAGAAATATCAGCTACCGAACTGAGGCTGCAGTTATCAGGAGGCTTTATATATATTAGAAGGAGGAAGTTATTGGTGTTTGCAGAGATATCATGGGAAGTAGGATTTTATGCTTTTCTTGTTAGTGAGGGAAATTTTTGGTCTTTGTATGTGAAAGTGGTTTGCATGTGATTTACTTTGCCTTTTCTTTTCCCTCTCATTATGTATAAAGCTATGTGGATAAATTAAAAATTGAAGCTTTAATACTAATTTTTTATTTGTATGTTAAAACACTATGAATTACTAAGAATAAACTAATGGAATAAGCACTTTTTTTTTTTTGTATTTATAAAGATATACGGCAGTGATGGGAAATTTACATTCTCAAAAAATCCTAAAAGAAAAATTAGCACAAAACTAGATGATAAAAGAGAAAAAGAGAGAAAGTGGAAAAAGTAGAGGAAAAGGAAAAGCTAATCTGCCAATAAGGAGGGGTGAGGAAAAGAGGAGCCGACTATATGTCTGTTTGAAGGGAATTGGGAACCGTGGTTGCCCGGCCTTTTTGCTTTTATTTTTTTTTCTTTAATGTTGTGCAACTATTCTTTTTTTCTCGTCTTGAAGTAGAGGAACAACGGCACTGATTGATCGTGATTTGTGAGTTCTGGATCACAAAATTATTAAGATTGCTTCGCTTAAAATTTGTGTAAAATTGAAACATTAGCATCTCCTTTATTATAAGCATAAATGGATGTATTTCTATTTTTATTTTTTAAATTAAAGTTTAAATTCATTTTTTTTTATAAACAATTCAAAATTCTGGAATCAATTTCAGTACTTTTATAATTTTATCATTTCATTTCAAATCATGCTCTAATAGTTGCCTATTCTGAATGATTAATAGTTAGCTTCTCTCTTCACCTCTATTATGACATTATTTAAAAACTTGAAAAGATTTTTCAAAAAATGAGAAAGAAAGAAAAAAAATTATAACACGTAACCCTCTCTTCTCTTTCTTTAATCTCAAAAAGAAAAACAAAAAATTTATTCACATATCTCATAATAAAAAATTAAAAAAAAAAAAACCTTATCCATTCCATAATTTTTTAAGAAGGGTTTTATTTACACCCTAAAAATTACTTACAAATTTAACCTTCAACTAAATTACTTAAATACTCATTGATAAATTTCTTTTTTGTCCTTTTTACGCCTTTAATCATCTTCTCCTCTTTTAATCTTCCTTTCTCCTTTTTTCTTTCTTCTTCCCTACATCTCTAGTCAAAATTCATAACCAAAATTTGTAAAAGTATTTGTAATATCTTATATATTATTAAAATGAAAAGTGAACTTGAGAAAAATACTTGCAGAAATTAATGTTTTGAAGATAATAATAGGATAAATTGATTTTATTTTGAAATTTGTACAATTCAAGAATACATTTTCAGAACATAAGTTTAGTATCCGAAAACATATTTTCAAAAATATCTGTGAAAAGATATGAATTACCAAAAATATCTTTATTTTTTGAAAATGAATTTTTGAAAAAATCTTTATATTATTGGATATACATATATGAGATTATTAAGTAATTTTTGGAAATTCATTTCCAGAAATAATTGAAAATTATTGGATATGAATTTTTGAAAATGTATGCAATGTACTAAAAATGCATTTCCTAAACGTATGGAATATACCGAAAATGAATTTCTAGAACAAATATAAAGTTTCAGAAATACATATCCAAAAACTTATAGAATGTAATAAAAATACATTTCGAAAGTAAATCAATAATAATTTTTTTAATTTTTATTAACATGTAGCATAATTTGAGAATTGCACTAATAGAGTGGAATGAATCATCACAAAATTTGGATACCAAATATGATTACAGTTCTTCATTTACTACTAAAGAGGTAAAATTATTTTTCTGAAGTAAACTTTGGGAAGTATAAAGATTGTGTTTTTAATGTTAGTTTATGTAGATGCAAAATGTGATAATTCAAATTGTTGTGCAAGTGTTTTATAGGAGCAAAGCATTGATTTCTTGGGCAAGACAGGTTGGAAAAGATGTTAGTTTTGTGGTTGTGATTAAAAACTCTGGTTTGTGAGGTCCAAGCACCTAAAATCGTATTGGCATGTGAACATAATGAAAAATATAGTTAGCAAAAGAATAAGACAAATGTAAAAGATATGCAGTGTAAGGGAATGGGAATGAAAAAGTGTGATTGCCCATTTTAGTTATATAGGTTTAAATTGGCAACGATGATGAATGAGGCTGAAGGTAGTCTATAAGTTTAGCAATTATCTACTGCCAAAATAATTAGAGAGACATTCATTTGCAGGTTGATTATTTGACGAAAAAAATACAATAGTGGTTGATATGTCAAACAATATGGTCAGACCCAAAAATATATTGTTGACCCTAAAACAATATGATGAGAAGAATGTCAACACTATAAAGACTATGTACAATGAATGTCAAAGATACAAATATGTTAATAAAGCTGATAGATCACAAATACAATAACTAATGAAAAAGTTGTTTGATTGTAAATACATGGAGTGGTAATGATTAAAGAGTTAAGCGGTCTAATTATGGTTTGCACCTGTAAAACAAACAAATACTATCTCTCTTTGCTTGAGATTATTGGTGTGACTTTCACTGATATGATATTTTTTGTTACATTTGTATACATGAAGGCCTAGCGCTATGATAACTATAGTTGGGCATTGTTTACGTCAAAAAATTTGATGCTTTTTGGTACATTTTCTAATGTCATTGTTATTGACAGAGATTTGATATTGATGAATAAAATACAGATTGTGTTTCCTAGTAAAATAAATATTTTATGCAGATTGCATATCTCAAGAACATGCTTACAAGTTGTAAAAAGTTTTTTAACCGAAAAGAGAAATGGGAAGCATTTATGTCAGGTTCGAGTGTCTTTGTGTTCTCTTTTACTGATAATGAATACAAAATGGATCTAAGTTCATTGAAAATTAATTAGTAGACTTATTTGGATGCAATCAAGTATGTGAAAGAGCAGTGATTGAAAAAATATAAGGATAAACTTATTGTTGCTTAGACGGATAAAGTAATGCACCTTGAAAATGTTACAACAAATACATATGATTTGGTTTAGTTTTTATTAAGATTATTTACATTTGTGTAATTCATAACAAAACATTCATTTAAATATACCTTTATTAATTCGTTTAGGGCTGAGTGTTAACATTCAAAATTGAAGAGAAACCTTGAATCATTTCAAAGAGATTTTAAATCATCATGGAGTATAATTAATGCCTTTATTGAGCTTCAACTTATAGAGATAAAAGGTTTCTTTTGAGAGAAGTCTTATAGTTTTTTAGTATAATTACAAGTCTTCATTATTTGAAGAGTTACGAGGTTTGGTATCATGTAGACAAAGTGAGTAAATCAAGTTGGGATTAACAAACAATGTTGTGGTTGCTTGATTAGAGGCATAAATAGATTACCTTGTATACACGAAATTATAGAGCACATAAGGGTAGGAAGTCCAATTTCTTTATTTAAAGTGCATCTTCATTAGAAGACATTGGATTTAATGAAGAGTTAAGTGGGTGACATATTTGAAGAGTTGACCATTACATCTGAGGTTGAGCAAATCATAAAATGTTTTAACTATTGTGATAAGTTCGATAAATTAACAATAAGAAAAAAGTTTTAGAACTACGTGATCTTTCAACAACTGCCTTGATTCCACCATTAGAGATTGCTAAGACAAAAAGTTATAAAGGTATTAAAGTAGATAAATCTATGTGACATGTTTCGTCATATTAGGAGATTGTGTTATTTGTACAGAATAATACATCACCACCAACCACTTCAAAGTTAGTGAAAGTCATAATACAAATTGATAAACTTCCTATTTAGCATTCTCATGATAAATAAAAATGCAATATTTATCTAGTTTACCAGTAGAGTTACATTGATTTATACTGACCATTATTGATATTAAGAGAGATGGACATTGTGGTTTTTGTTCTATTAGTGAAATGTTTAGATTGGGGATAAATGGTTAGGTACAAGTGCAATAAGATTTAATTAATGAGTTGATTCGATATTGAAGTGCATATGTCATATTATATGAATCCATGAAATACGTTGAGGAATTGACAAAAATCTTATCATGTTTTGACACTTATGCCTTCTACGAAAAGTGGATGACTTTACCTTATATAAGTCATTTGATTACCTTACGACATAATACAGTGCTAGTCCACATTACTTGAAACAGTGCTTAATCTATCTCCCTATTATATTCATACCATTTCTATCGTTGGAGTACAAAGTCAGTAGGATTGAATTTGTAAATGATTGTCATTTTGTATAGGTACCATTGATTAGATTTGATATTTATCATTTTTATTATTTATAATCATATTATAATTGTGATAGCACTTAAAAATATAGTGTTTTTACATGTTAAAATGGGTGCAAAATTTTAAAATTTTGTTGATTTTTAGTTCCTTAATGCCTATTAATGATTTTTAAGGTTTCAAGCTTATTGATAAGGAAAATATACAATCTATACATGAAGGAGATAATTGACGATTCAAAACTAAGGGTTGGCTGAACCTCATTGCTATAATTCCTTCAACCATCCAACAAAAAAGAGTTTTACTTGTACATAGACTCTTCTTTGTATTCCATCAAAGAAATTTAATCCAAGAGTGACTCTTTTACTTAGTCATGAAGGAATTTTACTTATATAATTACTCTATATGTATTTGGCTAGCTCATTTTAAGAGGAGATCAAGCACACATGTGATATTTGAAGAATTTTAAGCTACCATGGACTTTTGCATGGTCGACCAAAAGTGTTTATGTCCATGATGGACTTTTTAGCTCATCCAATAAAGAGTTTTGATAAATGAAGGACTTTGCAAGATAATTATCAATATAATTGAAGGAAAAATCAATCCAGTCTTAAAATCCTAAGCCTTAGCTGAACCAAGAGTGAAGATTTAATCAAGTTTGCATCAAGCATTGATTAAAGGCTAAGGTTGCTTCAAAGACATCCCATTCAGTCAAGCATGCTCAAGAAGAAAGAGTCTCATTCAGTCATGCCTCATTTG